TGGGGAGGCGCGGGCCGGCGCTGCGCGCGGGCGGGGGACCCGGGCGGTGCTCCGGGCTCTCCACCGGGCCCCTCCGACAGCACGGAGGTCCGGAGGCTGGACGTGTGGTCCCGAGAGGGCGAGGGTAGGGCGCCCACCTCCAGTCCAGAAAGGAATCGGACGCGGGGGTGGGGGGCTGGGGTAGGGGGTGCGCTGGGGAGGCAGGGCCTGGGAGCGGTGGGGGTGCGACTTGGGGGCAAGGCAGAACCGCGGCTGGTGGGTGGCTGGGGACGGGTGCAAGTGGATGGGGCCCGGATCTGGGAGCCCGTGGGTGTGCCGCTGGGGAAGGGGCAAGGAGGTGCCGGGACCCACCTCTGCAAACAGTCTAGCGACCCAAGAACTGGGATGCTGACCTGTCTGTGTCCTCGTCAGGTGAGACATGGACAAGAAGGACAAGCCTACGGCAGGGGCCGCTGCGCGGACGCTGGCCTCTCGCCCACCCGGCCTTCAGAACCCCAGGCCGCCAGGGCTTCCTCGACCCCTGCCCCCAGTAACCAGCGCGGCCCTCCGAGTCCTGGGAGCCGCGAGAGCTGCGGGGAGAGGGCCTCTGGCCGAGGCGGCGGGGGGCACCAGGGCAGCGGCTGCCCCCGAGGCTGCTTCCCGGGGGCGGCCACCTCGGGGCGCTGGGACCGGTCCCCAGAGCCCAGGTACCCAGAAGCCTCTTTCCCCATCCCGGCCCCATTTCCCTGATCCCCTTCTTTCTGAGGCTCCAGCTCCCCCTCCTCTCCCGGGCACCACTGTGACTGGGGCTTCTTCCGCAGCCCCCAGGCCCCCGGTAACTGGGAGAGGCGAGAGGGCCGCTGTCAAGACGCCCCGCCTGGGCTCTGCCCCAGGGCGAGCCAGTGGGACCACCAGGTAACGTGCCCTCTCCCCGGGTCAAGGCTCAGTGTCACTGTCTGGACCTTGCAACTTTACACCTAAACTGGGATGTGGGCGCATCTGCAGGCCATGGAGCGGAAACTGGGCGGGAGTCACTGTCGGCCCCCAGAGAGGACCTGGGTGCGCCCACGCCACAGCCGGGTGCGGGAGCCCTCACGTGGGGCTGGCATGCTGGCCCGAGCGTGCCCTCCTGTCCCCTAGGCCAGGCCCTCTTGGGCAGAAGGGGGTCTTGTCCTCAGCCGAGGAGCCTGCGGCCAAAGGGAAAGCCACAGAAGCGCAGAAGAGGACTGTTCCGAGCGCCCGAAGAGGTACGTGCCGGGGAGGGGCAGGCGTCCCGTGTGGCCGCGCCCCGAACTGTCGGTGACCCTCCGGCCTTCTGGTTTGTCCCCAGACTCCTCCGGGCCCGGCCCAGGTTCTTCGGCCGTCTCCCGTCGGCCCCGGACTGCGGGGCCTGAAGCGGGTCTCCCTCGGGCAGCTGCGAGTGCCGGGTCTCGGCCCCCCACAGAAATCCCCAGGAAATTAGTGAGCAGCGCCCCAGAGCGCAGCACTCCGGAGCAGAGCCCCTCGGCCAGGAGGCGGCCCAGCGCCGGCGCCAGCCTCCAGAGGCCAGCCTCGCGCCCCCTGGGCGCCGGCGCCACCGCGCTGTCTTCCCCAGCTCGTTCCGGAGCGTCGCCCGCTGGAACACCTCGCGCTGCGGGGCCCCAGCCCAAAGCAAAAGGGCTGCCGGCTCTGCGCCCCCCGCAGACCACAGCCCCGAGGAAGGGCGCAGTCCCAGTGCCCGGCCGTCCCCCGCTAGCCACACCCCCTCCACCTGTCCGGGCCCCCCCACCCGCCCGGCCGCCTGGAGTCACGGCCTCTCCCCTGCCGGACACGCTCCCGCCCTCGCCACCGACGACGCCCCCTGCCCAGGCCCTGCCCGGCGCTTTGGCCACGCCCCTCGCGCTAGCTCCTCCCTCCCCGCCCGCCCCCG